GGGAGCACACAAATTGTAACCCTTCCCTGTACTGTAAGTCACTTTGAGTACAAGCATCAGGTAAATGTATAGCCGCTGTTTTTTATAACCTAAACTAACATCCATGTTTACCCCCTGCTCAGAAACCTAAGCGGTGTCTTCAGCGACATGAAGGACCTGGTTCTACCAGACCTTGACCGTTACTTCACCGCCTCAGACTGCCGGCAGTTTAACCGCTCCGAGTCCCTCCGGTGAGGCCTTTTTTCTGGGCGTGACGGCACCACAGCTGTCGACATCAACGCTAACAGCGTCGCGCTAACTGCTCTGTGTGACTCCTGCCGGTCCAGGCTCGCGGATGAGCTACGGGGCTGGGCCCACAGGCATCAGATAGACCGGAAGAAGTCTGGAAGAAAGCCGAAGATAGTGAAGAAGGCCAGGGTAGCTCAGGTACGCAGTCTGCAAGCTGACGGGGCCCGACAGCAGCTGTGGTTAAATCCTATCATCTTGACTTCCTTGGCAAAGGAGAGCACAACAGGCCAGTGAACCCTGTTACTGTTAGTAGCACACTGGCCGACAGGTAATAGTGCTGAATGTGCAGTACAATTACAAGATCTCAGCGTTATGTAAATCCTGCAGCAGCCGCCCCCCCCCACCGGCCATTATCAGCCCCCACAGTCTCTGACTTCATCTCCTCCTCCACTGCACAGAAATCCCAGCAGAGGAAGATGAATTTCTCCAGATACCTTCCCATCCAGACACACAGCTCGATGGAGAGGTGAGAGAGCCCCCCCTCCCTGATTTCTGCTTAATTAATTTGTTGCAGTGTTAATCTCAGTAATTATGGATCACCTCTTTCTGATTACTCTTCTTCCCTGCTCTGCGCAGCCTGCCCTGTCAGCCAAACTGGTTATGTTACTGTCATCTCGGCTCAGTGTGTTTTAGAAGCAAGGTGTTCTTGCTTCCTTTTCGCTGTTTTTGTTCGGTGCTTAGTTGGAGACTTTCGTTTTCTGTGTTCGCTGACGCCCCTCCCTCACTTGACCACATTGCTTTGTGGCTTTTAGTGGGCTGTGAAACTGACTGTGCTGCTTTATCGCCCACAGTCAGTTGCAAGTGTTTCCAGGACCAGAGGTCACCTACAGTGACTTCCTGGACGCCATTGACCGGCGTGAAGACACGTTCTACGTGGTCTCCTTCCGGCGGGTGAGTTTAGCAGGTTCAGATGCGGAGGATTTGTAACGGCCATTGCTCCATTTCCCTATCAGTATACTCCATTAAATATTTTAGATACTATTTTATGTAACATTAAAAACACAGTATCAGTAATAGATTACTATAATATACTATAATAGTTTAATTTGAATCTGAGCCTAATTCTTTATTCTTAAAAAGTGGATATTACAATTTTTTATTTAGTGCTTTTATCCAAAGCGACTAACAATTGAGATGGTTGGGTCCAACAATCCCGGAAGTATTTAAGGTTAAGGCTTTTGCTCAAGGGCACAATGGTGACATCACTCTGCTGACTGGGATTTGAACCGGCAACCTTCCAATCACAGGCCAGCATTCTAATGCATTGCCTCTCTTCTCAAAGCAAAATCTGAAATAAAAACGCAAAATTTTAAATACCGTTTTAGTTAGTATTGCACTTTATTTAGTCAGTGTCCTCTGCACATAGGCTACGTTCACACTGCAGGACAAATGTTTCCGAGTGCTCCTGAAGGCATCCCGACGCAGCAGGACCCTGTACGTGCTGCTTACTGACATGTCATTGGCTAAAAGCTCTGGCAGCAGCCCTGAAGGCATCCCGACGCAGCAGGACCCTGTACGCGCTGCTTACTGACATGTCATTGGCTAAAAGCTCTGGCAGCGGCCCTGAAGGCATCCCGACGCAGCAGGACCCTGTACGTGCTGCTTACTGACATGTCATTGGCTAAAAGCTCTGGCAGCGGCCCTGAAGGCATCCCGACATAGCAGTACCCTGTACGTGCTGCTTACTGACATGTCATTGGCTAAAAGCTCTGGCAGCGGCCCTGAAGGCATCCCGACGCAGCAGTACCCTGTACGCGCTGCTTACTGATATGTCATTGGCTAAAAGCTCTGGCAGCGGCATGCGTTCCTACATGATCCAAAACACACCCGCGGTATTGATAACAGCAGGTATTTATAACATATTACACTGTATAACCTTCCTAATGAGAGGTGGTCACACACTTGCAGTACATAACAAATAGCAGCATGAAAGCGTTGCGCACTGTCTGCTCCATGTCTCATTTAAATTAGCCATGAGCCCTGCTTTGTACGTATGTATGTTTTAGTGCACATGCTGAATTATAGTGTTTTATTATTTTAGCAAAGCTAGCCCTTTGAAGGCTGTGTGGTAAGTGTATATGTGGAGAACCAGTCATTAGTTTTCCACTGCGTGTATATAAGCAGGCTATGCATGTCATATTAAAGCTTTGAAGAATCAACTGCACTATACTGTAATGTGAGGGTTTACTTAGCTGCCTAGATTCATTAATTTAATTAATTAGATTAGGCTTGGTCTTTATGATTGGTGTTTATGATTTTATAAATGTTTGTTGTGTTTATTCAACAAACATTTACAAACTCAATGTTTATTATGAGTCTGTACGAGAAAAATATTTAGGCAAAACTGGAAGGCTCATGTCATAACTGGGCAGTTTTCGAATCGATAAAGTGACGTCTTTGTTTTTGCGCATGCGCGTCATTGCGTATTGTTGTTTTGTGTGCACATAGGCCAGTTCAGTATAGTGAACTGTTCACATTGAAATCTGATATTGCCCACATTAAAAAGAGTAATGTGAACAGGCAAACAAAAAATCCGATCTGAGCAGAAAATCAGAATTGAGCATTAAGGCCTGCAGTGTGAACGTAGCCATAGTGACTGATACAGCTGTCTTTTCAGCCAGGCTTAGCACCGCCCTCTGGTGGTGAGACGACCAGCCGTACTGACACATACTATATTTTCCCCCACAGGACCACCTACTGCTGCCGGCCATCAGCCACAACAAAACCACGCGGCCCAAGATGTCCCTGGTGATGCCAGCCATGTCCGTTAATGGTAACAGTATCTGTCATTTCCATACACAGTGCCCCTGCAAGAACAGAATACCACTGTGATCTCTACAGTACCTGTCTCTCTCTCTCTCTGTCTCTCTTTCTCTCTGTCTCTCTTTCTCTCTGTCTTACTCTATTTCTCTCTTTGTCTCTCTCTTTCTCCTTGTCTCTCTTTTTCTGTCTATTTCTGTCTTTCTCTTTTACTCTCACTGTCTCTTGCTGTCTCTCTTTTCTCTCTCTCTTCTCTCTCTTGCTGTCTCTGTCTCTCTTTACTCATTGTCTCTCTCTTTTCTCTCTTTTCCCCTCTGTGTCTCTTTCTCTGTCTCTCTCGCTGTCTCTCTCTCTCTCACAGAAAGCATGTATGAGTCCTCCCAGGGCTACGAGATGATGATGCAGGTCGACTGTGAGGTCATGGACACCCGCATCATCCCCATCAAGGCCTCCGCTGTGCCCCCGTCCCTGCGGGACCCCCCACCACCTCCCCCCTCCCATCACCACCCCAGCAACCACACGTCCTTCCGCGGCCGTCACTCCCATGGCTCCGGGCAGGCAGCAGCAACTGCCGGCAGAAGGGAAGCAGACTATTTCATCAGCCAGGAGGGGGGTGTTTGAGAGTAAGGGAGGCGAGGCAGGCGTCCCGGGGGGCAGGGAGGGGCAGGGACACTGAAGGGGAACTGTTTTGAACAGGTTGGGTGTGTGCAGTAGATGTGGAATGGGGGGTAATTATTACAAGAAATATGTAACACACAGCGTTCTAGCACTGTATTCGACCAATGGAGGAGTACCTTTCAGGATACTGTGTGCTGTCTAAGGAGTGTCCTGAACATCATTTGGTGCATATAATTTTTGTTTGTTTGTATCGCCAGTGCGAGCGTGAGGCAGCTAAATGGCTTATCTGTGTAAATCGAAAACCCCAACGATCGTTCCCCTAGCCACCATCTGCGCGCCTCACCGCGAGTCCGGGAGTGACGGCCAAGCAGGTGTGACTTTCACTCCCCCTGCGCTGTTCATGGAAGCAGCCTATGGTCCATTGCACTTAAGGACATTAAAGTAACAAGTGTGGGGGGGGGGGGGGGGGGGGGG